ATTAACTATTGTATCACCCCATTAAAATTAATGAAACCAAATCCTCTGACAATTAATATACAGTACTGGGACTGGGAGGAAGGTAAATGGAGCATGAGGTATAAATGCGTTGGAGGTGAATCTTGCAAACTGTCACTTGCAATGGGAAGTGATGGCTAATGGGTATGGGAGGTACACCACACTTGTCTGAGATAAGGACAGCTGTGCCCTCATGATGTGTCTGTTCTGGATTTTGAAGAGAGTAAAAAGCCAAATAACCTCTGAGAGGGATGATCACAGGCACCTAACATTGTGTCCTGGAGAAAAACACAGACAGGGGAGAATTTGCTCAGAAGCAACTGGAGCTCCTCCCAGTTGGCTTATAAGCCTCGACAATTCCATTGGACGATCATAGTGGTAGCCATGATTATAGGAGATCTAAGTAGAAATTTACACGAATATCGCCCCCAATAGGCATTTAGGCGGGCTTAGTTTGGACGTTGGAGCCTGGAAGATGCACCTGGAGTGTACCATGACCAGTCCCTGTGGCTTTGTGGACACAGATGACCCAGATGTAGACCCATCTGATGAACCCACACCAGAGTTAACCCCTGTAGATGGCTCAGATGGAAGATGTGCCAGGTGTCCCAGCTGTCAGTTTAATTTTAGCTCGTCACCAGAGGCATCTGGAAGAGGATCAGTTACATATCTGGGGGAGAGACGCCAGCCTGAGCTGACATCTGTTGTTGTAGTGTCTGGGACTCAGAATTGGGTTCGAAGTTGGCAAAGGGGTCGCTTTCCTCTTACAGTCGGATGATTCCAACGCCAAGATCTTGGCCAGAGACTTGTTTACCTCCAGAAACTCTGAGGACCATCGGCAACATTTTCGTTGAAATTTTGTAGTACCTGGAGCGGCGGTGGAGGAAAGATAGAAGTAACAGATGTGCCGCCTCATCCATATGAACCTCAGCCATTACAAGAGAAGTCTGAGGACTGAGGATTGGTGGCCTTGGTGGCATAGAATCAGGGTGGGGAGCTGAATTCAATACAGATACGGATGATTCTGGGGGTGATGTCATAGCAACAGTTCACTGAGCCTTTTGTCGGGACAGAACCTGTGCATAGGAATCCCCATGATTTAAAGACTGATTTCAGTGCTATGCTTCTGGCTTCAGCAAAGCTCACTTTGTCTAGTGCTGATATGAAACATCTCTCTCTTGAGTCAGAACTGGTCACATTCACTAGAAGGGCCAAGTGCACCTCCAATAGTGAAAATTGCAGACAGGCCGGACATTTCTGACCCTCATGGGCCTTACCACAGTTAACACATACTGCAGGAACACCCTGCTCTAACTTAGGACAAGTATGACTGATATGGCCATACAAATGACAATGAAAGCAAGCATTGTCTAGGGTTTGGGACACATGGTTTACACCTTAAGGAGATCCAGGCAATCTGTTAGAGCTTGGAAGTAGCAGTCAAATGTCAACAACAGTTGGTGTAAGGTTAAGAAGCCATTTTCTTTCTTGTGGAACCTGTCCACTTTCACCAACTTTTGACTCGAACTCCTCCAGAAGCCTCCTCTGAGTATCAGAGTAGCTCTTTAGAGAATAACACCCTCAACACTGGAAGGTGACATGTGAAGTACAGGAGGCTGAGGCACCATATTATTCACGACTCTAGATCACTTGGCTTGTACCTCTCTCAAGGGTCGAGCCAGGGTCAGCTGATTTAGCCACCAACAGGCCCGCTCTGCCCAGGCAGTTCACTCACTACCACTGGACAGGAAGCTGGGCACTTAACTCAAAGTGTTATTCCCAACACTTCCCTGGAGAGAATTCACAATATATTCTCTCAGATTGTACCTGTGTATATACCTGCAAATAGGCAATAAAACAGAAAATGCCAAGAAGTGTTTACATCAAGCCCTGCCACTTAAGAGTTCCAGAACTTAATTAAAACAATTAGTGTGATACCAAAACAGGTATCAGAACTCTCCTTGGGAGGAGACTCCACTTGGAGGCTACCATCTTGCTCAGTGGATATCTTGAGTTCTTCAAATTTTACTATTGACCTGTGAACATGAAAAATGTCCAGCTCCATTACAGGCTGGCCTTCTATGGTATGAAGCACTAGATATCTTACAAAATCTAAGTTTGAACACACCTGGTAAGATGTCAAGGTCAGAAGCGCTATGGAAGTGACAGGGCCAGTTGGCCTCCTGCGACTCTTATACTTGGGTATTTGCTGAGATCCAGAGCCACTTTTTTAATCTGATAGGCTGCAATATAGCAACTGATGATCCAGAGGAGGGTCCAGGACGGTGAAGGTCGTAGGAGTATCCGACCGGTTATTGGAGTATGTTTCTTCAATAAAACAACTTCACTCCACTCAACTATAGAGCACAGCATGGGAGATCAATGCCAGAGATAAGACCCTGGTGACCCCAAGAGCAGCAGGAAGTATATGGTAACCACCAAGGGCCACAGAAGGTTGCTCCTAGACCATAGAGTGCAAGGCCCTTTGATGTCCATTTGATCCCTAGCCACACTGTGACTAGCCAATTGACTTGATCAGGCCCAAGCTGCGGTCTAGCTGGAGTTATAAAATAAGAAAAAAGAGCTAGGAATGCTGTACAGATGCCATAGTTACTTCACTCCTGACCAGTTGCTTCAAGCCCCCACCCCCACAACTTCGTGGCTCACTGAGGGGTTATGTTCTAAAAATGCCACGTTATAAAAAACTAGCGTTAAGCGGATCAATTTTCCTCATAAGAAATAGATAAAATACAAGAGTTATTCTTGATCCTCCCTTTGCCCCATGAAATACATTACATATACAGAAAATCATTGCCATTTCTATAGAAATAGTGCTACATATACAACTACTAAGTTTTTATTGGTACTCACCGATGCGTGGAGGTGAGAGAGAGTGTGTGGTGGGTAGTGAAGCAGAGGAGGCAGATGGCGGGAGAGGAAGAGAGCGGGAGAGGAGGAGAGTGGTGAGTCACTGGGACACTGCAGCTGCCTCCTCCTCCTGCGCTGAATGGGGTTCTCCACCGCTGCTTGCCCTTCCTCCGTTGATGTTTGCTCTTCTGTTGTTGTTTGCTTTCTCCTCGGCTGCTGTTTGCTCCTCCCGGCTGCTGTGTGCTCCTCCTCGCTGCTGGCTATTGTGAAGCTGCTGCTGCTTCTGGTGTCCTGCGACGAAAAAATGAGTCCAGTGTTGACTGCTTGGTGCTACTCTTCTTCTTCTCCTTATAGATCTCAGTAACAAACCAAGACTTTCATCAATGCCTGCTGAATCTTTGATCTCACGGTCTCTGTTTGGTCGTCATCTACAAGGATTCACATACCTTGCTGGATCATGTTGAATGCTTCTGCCATCCTCTTGGAAGTTAGTGCTCGTTGAGGTTCTTCTTCGTTGTCATCATCTTCAACAGGACTGTGTTCTGTTAGTTGTTGCAGATCTTCTTTGGTGAGCTCTTCTGTCTGGGGCCAGGACGTCTTCAATATCCTCTGATTCCAGCTCATCAAAGCCTTTTTCTGTCTAGCCAAGCTGAGGATATCCCTATTCACTGCTGGGACTAAGTCCGTGAATCCGTAAAACTGTTAGCGCCAATCGGGCCACAATTTCGTCACACACCATTCAGGCAACTTTCTGAAACCTCTTCCCATACCTTGCCAATGTTGTCAATTGCATGAAGATTGTTGAAGCCACGCTAATATTCTCGGATATTGGATTTGTTTTCTGTTTGTAGCCTTGAGCAGCTGGGCCGTAGTACGGCATAAATAATATGCCTAAAATCGGGCGATGATGCCTTGGTCCATAAGCTGCAGCAGTGCTGTCATGTTGGAGGCAGGAATACAACTTTTACACTGTCATGCAAGTCGTCGAGATTGGGAGGTATGAGCTGGAGCATTGTCAAGAATCAGAAGAATTTTGAAGTCAGTGTTCTCTTGACACAGTATTCCTTTTAGGGCCATGGGTTAGCAGCGCGAGAAATCAACATCGGCGTCAGCTTGAGTAGCTGGTGTTAGCACAAGCAGTCTTTGCTGCCTTAAAACCTGGCTCTTTTTTTCTCCAGAGATTTAGGTCCTTTCAGGCATCCTCTTCTTAAAGAGACCAGTCTCATCCACATTGAAGACTTGCCCGGTGTCGCCTCCTTCCTGGATAATCCATTTTAATTCTGGTGGGAATGTCTCGGCAGCAATAGTATCTGAACTGGCAGCTTCACCATCATCTTAATATTGTGGAAGTTACACCTGCGTTTAAATCATTGAAACCATCCTCGGCTGGCCGTAAAGGTCTCTTCCCCGATCCTTCATCCTCTTCTGTCTTTATGTCGTCAAACAAGGATCTGGCCTTATGCTGGATAACCATAAGGCTTACAGGCGCATTGCGTTGATTCTGGTCCTCCATCCACATAGCCAGCATCTCCACCTTTTCTATCACAGTGCTTCTATCCAAGTTGTTGTAGTTGCACTCAGAGAAGAACCTCCAGCACTAATCTTAATCTTGTCAGTTTGGTCTGGAGATCACGCAGCACCATTGTGGGGTTAGACCAAGCACAGCGCCTATGTCACAACCGTTCCCCTTTCCATCGGGTCAATACATCCATTTTTGTTGCAAGGGTAATGGTCTTACATTGCCTCTTCACTATACTAGCATCAGTAGCACTTGATGGCTGCTTGGAAGTCATTTGAATGTTTAGAGTCCTGTTTTAGAGCAAAAGCACTTAGCACACATGAATGATGTGAAATCGTAACAAAAACTGGCGGGGCTGTGACATTCAGGAGTGAGGGCAGTCGCGCCCGAGCGAAGGCGTAGTCTGACCAGACAAGAGCAGGTGATGCGCCGTGAAAGTAGTCCGTGGCGGCCGGAAAACGGCGTAGTATTGGATCACTGGGGCGTTAAGCGAATTTTTGGTCTCTAAAGTTTAGTGGCGTGAAATGCGAAACAACGTTAAAGCGAACGACGTTATCGGACTTACTGTACAACCAATAAATCAATGACGCCTCACCCTCATATTTTCTTCTTCCATCTTTTAAGTAAGTCTTTTAATAGTTTATTGGTCTGTTGTAGCCTGATGGCAGCCCAAGGTCCTTCAGTGCTGACTGAGGTCCTCGGTTAATGTGCACCTCTGAGACAAGTTCTGCAAATTTCATCACTGTCTGGAAAAATAATGCAACTGATTACTGTACAGTTTCAATGGGAGAATTAAGTAAAACTACACTATGCAAATAGACTATAATCTTCATAATCAATATTTACAAATTTTTTGCATTTTGTGTAGATTAATGAAACTTTAGGGATGTCTCTTTTAACACTTTTTTTTTTTTTTTTTACATTTTCTTGTCCTGCTTTCTTTCATAATTGTTCATAATATATACTTTTATTCAACTTACCTCCATCCCAAACTTTCAAGCCTTTTCCTGCTATACTGTAGTGTCTGAATCAAGACCAAACTCACAAACTCTTCCTTTATTTGTTATCAAACATTTGTGCTGCAGCACAGTGTACACAATTCTGCCACTCATCCATCGATTTCCCTAATTTTTGTGTTATGATTAGGTTTGATTGAATGATGAAGTCACAAATTTATCCTAGGTCAAAGGATTTCCGAGTTATGACCTTCCATATTTTGAGGTCAACAGCAGGACTTTGTAATTTCGAAAGGTCATATCTCAGGTTCTACTGTAACTGATTTCAACAATCTTGGTCTCAAAATGCTCAGAAAGGTTGTAGAATAACTTTTCCACTGTAAAAACCATAGAGTATCAAATAAAAGAGTTACAGTTCTGTATGACCTTTGACCTTGACCCCAGATAAACCTTCAAAATTCAAAGTCATGGAAATTGGCATGACAACTGTCCTTGATATAATGCATCCACAAGCCAAAAATTAGAGAGGGATCTCCATTGGTTTGATTTTTAGAGGCATTCAAAGTCATGCAGGTGAAGACTTTTAAATACTTTTGACAATTAGTATTAATATGATTATTATAGGAAAGCCCTATATGAAAGTGCAACGCAGTGTAAAAAAGTTTATGTCGCACTAAAGAGATTAAAAGAAAACACTTGTAATTATAAATGAAAAGTAGAAATGCAGATAAGATAACCATAGAAATATGACCAAACAATAAGTTCAGTAATTTACTTAAACAGCACAGAAGTACACATCACCTAAACCAGTGGATCTCAACATGAGCCATATGGCCCCTGAAGTCCATGCCATACTTAGGGGCCACATGGAACAAACAGAACATTAGGGGGCCACAATATGTTTATGAGGGCACCCAAACTTAACTGCCAGGCGTAAGATCAATTTGTCATCATCGTCACATCTCATTCTTTGTGTTTAAGTTCAGTAGCTTATATTGAAAATTACTCTAGTAAAGTCTAGTAAGTAGACAATTATGAAATCTCCCATAATGAAAAGATTTTGTCACCTCTAACCTTACTAAGTCTACCATAAAAACAAACAAATTATAAATTTTCTTATTACGTTTGTTGATAACCCACGGTCAGCTGATGACAGCCGCCAGCCAGTGGGTTGCTTCAGATCTCCACTCACCGTGTTAGGTAGGCATTTTTAATGGTGGTCTTGTACTTATTTCTTGCCTGGTCATGAATTAACCTAGGAGATAGACTGGTGGGGTGTGGAGCTGGAGGTGGTAATGAGAGTACAGCATATAGTCTCGATTTGCGGATTTCCTCAGCGGTTGGTCATTTCACTGGCACCTGGCAATTATTAGTCACCGGTACATTCCTGAATTTACAGGGAAGCGGACGGACAGCTGTAGCGTTAGGTTGCTCTTCGTCACGCGACGTCATATAGCGATATCTGGCTGTGATTGGGTCACGGATCCTTACCACCACGATTCCTCCGCTGTTAGCTGTCAAGTCTGCCAGCAAGTGTAGGGGCGGAAGTTGCAGAAGGGCCGCCGTCCTGTTCACCACCAATGCCTCCGCACCTGTAAGCTCAAGTTGTCTGTGATCCACAAAGCCCGCAAGCCGCGCCCTACAAAAACATGGACATGAGCAGTTAAATGTCCACTGGCTAACCTCAAGGAAGGCGTGGATGTTCACTGGTCTGTCCCTCTCCTGGTTTGACGACTGTTTTCGTTCTGACGTGAAGAATTCTGCAAGCAACATAATGTTCCATTTAACATTTTGTTGCTCCTTGATAACGCTACCAGGACACTTGCCCTACTGTTGGATCGTCACCCCAGTGTAAAAGTGGTCTTCCTTTCCCCAACACTCACGCGTTAATCAGCCCATGGATCAGGAGTTGATTTGTAACGACCAAGGCTGCTTTCTCAGAAAGAAGTTTGGCTCCTGAACGACTTCACCAATACCAAGGATGAATTACGGAACCTTCTGGGTGGCACCGATAGCGAGGCGGAAGAGGATCCAGAACAAGAGTTGGCGGAGCATGAAGTGTGAGTCAAGCAGTTCTGGAAGATGTGCAACGTCAAGAAAGCTGTTGATTTCTTGGTGGAGGCATGGGGGCAGCTTGTCTGTAACGATTCATCCATGGCGTGACATGTGTTGCAGGGTATCCCAGGTAGGAGGCAGAGTCAGCGGTGGCTGGAGAGGCTCAGTCTGTTGCTGTGGTATTGGACATTGCAAGAAAGGCTGCACAGAGTGTTACAGCTGCAGCCTTCTGAGACCACCAGACATCCTGGAGGTAATCAGGCAACCTGAGATGACTGCCGACAAGATGTTGGAAGATGATGACGTCATTGAGGAGGCAGGTGTACAGCAGAACAAGAAGAACAGAAGTTAACACATGGTGATGTAAAGGAGGCCATCGAGTTGGCGAAAACTCAAGCTCATCCTTTCCCAAGACCCAGTGAATCACAGATACGAAGTCTCCAATAACCATCTGTTGCAATCTATGGAGCGTATATCCAGATGTATCACGACCACATCAATGCTAGCCGTCAACGTAACATTACAGTTCTTCGCTCGCAACCCACAACCACAGCCAGCCCATCAGTGATATTGATAGTGAAGGATATGGACTTTGAGGGTTTGACGCGAGGCCCTGCTAACCTCTGTGGTGGATAGCGATACAGGTGATACAAGTGATACCTGAGGGCCACTAATCTGCCCTCTGCCTCGAACCAGCCCCCATCCCGTGTGCCCAGCCATCTCTTCTACTAACCTAAGTGTTAAAACCTTGATATTTCTCTTATACCTGTACAGTATATTATTCTCTTATTGATATTTCTCTTATATATCATGTGTGTGTGTCATACCATCATAAAATTAAGATGTTATTTTTACTACAACGTCTTGTGCTAGGAAAAAGTGTAGTGGGAATTACAGTCTTTATTTCAATTAATCCCATATGTTCTGTTATTTCGTTCGTTCCTCGTTTACGGGGATCTCCGGGTTTAATTGACCGCGTAATCGAGACTATACTGTAGTACTAGGTCAAAACCGGTTTTACTGGGGTGTATAGGTGTTGAAAATAGTAATTTTGGGCATTGTTTGAGGTTGTGACA